CCAGCGGCTGGTCACGCCTGCAACGGACCAAAGCAGTGTTGTCAAGCTGTCACCAAACCAGAGTTTAAGCCATCTTTCAAGCTGCAGTCCCCAGGTAACCAAAGGGAAGCCCAGATCCAGCTTCCCAGGAATTAATTTCCTGGTGAAGCTCCCCCCTGGCTGTCCCTGGGTTGTGTTCTCAGAAGGAAGGCAGCATGGAATGACTCCTCACAGATGTCAGGCGCTGTGCCCAGCGCTCATTCCATGGTCTCATCATTGAACTGTGACAGCAATATGGATCTACCTCTCCAGCCCTTGGCACACATGCTTGTGAAAACTCAAGGCTAGGATTTAATTAAAAACTGTATCCTATCACAAAGAGAAGAACTTCCACGTGTTTACCTTTATATCCCTTGCCCTTGGTGACTCCAATGACATCTATCATCTCATCCTGGCCAAAGACAGTTGACACAGGCACCTGCTGTTCCAGCTTCTCCCGGGCCCAATCCACTTTCTCTGCAACAGTGCCACCATTCACTTGGATCTCCATCAGGTGAGACTTCTTCTGTCTCAGGGGAAGCAAACGCATCTAGAAAACAGAAAGCATGAAATTCAGCTCCCACTCTTCCAAGATGGACCTTATATTAATAAGTCAAGTATCCTTTTAGTCCTAGCCTAATCAGTTTTTCTTACTATATATATCCTTTTCCAATACAGAAAACTTCAACAAGGCCCTACATCATGGAGAAAGGCTGTGACTGAAATGACAATTCACTGCATCTGGAAGTTATATGCCACCTATAGGACCAGAGAGTTCTCTAACCCCACAAGCACCAACCAAACTCCACCAAGGAAGGACAGGAGACAACAAGGGACAGATTGTTTTAAACTGAAAGAGGATAGACTTAGACTGGATCCAAGATGGAATTTTTTTATTATGAGGGTGGTAAGTCAGTGGCACAGGTTGCCCAGAGAAGCTGTGGATGCACCTTGCCTTAAAAGTGTTCAGTCATCTCTGACAGTGCCCTGAGCAACCTGTCCTAGTGGAAGGTGTCCCTGCCCATGGCAGGGAGGTTGGAACAAGATGATCTGTAAGTTCCCTTGCAACCCAAACCATTCTGTGATAAAGTTTGCCACACCAAAGGCCACTTTGGGTCAGGTCACATTTACAGTTACTTCCACTATATTTAGCACAGAGGGACTGGTGAGAATATCAACAGCAGCTACAATACTACCTTTGCTGTTTAATACAGAAAACTAATTCTAGTACAATCGGCCATGCCATAACTAGACATCTTTATTGCACTTACAGTAAAAGATTTAACTCCATCTCCCAAGAAAGCCTGGCAGAGTACTGACAGCTAGGGAGACACCACCACACCACTCAGCAGTACACCTCCCCCAGCTGAGCAAGAAGAGCCACCAAGTGTCTCTGAGTGCTTGCAGTTTAGACAGATTGCAGCCTGAAACGATGCTGAGCACACAAACCCCAGAGTTTAATGTTCAGCCTGGTTTTATTTGTAGGTGGAATTAAAAAAGTCTGGGTCTACATGGCATCAGGAAAGGACCGAGCCCAAGAAGTTCCTACTACAGTTCAGTTTCTTTTGGACACCCCTTCAGAAGACTGCCAGCGGTTGCCCTCAAGGCTGCTCAAGCATCCTCTGAGCACAGCTCTGTACAGAATGAATTTGTGTTGTGCTGAACAGTCACCATCAGGCTGCAGAGGAGGGCAGAAATCTCCCTAGAGATGGATCAAATTTCATTCTTGCTCTCAGCTGTTTCCAGCATACTTCAGTCCTGAACGCACTTACCTGAGTGTGAGCCATGACTCTAATAACCTGGCAGTACTTCTTCATGCTATTGAAATCTTTCTCCAACTGCTTTTTGCCCTCCTCATCTTGCCATTTCTTGCAGTATTTGGTGAAGGCCTTCTTCTTGGACTTGTGCCTTCAGGAGCAGAGCAGAGACAAGGTTTGGCTAAGCCCTTCATCAATCCCCAGGCAACCGGGGATGAGCGGAAGGAGCTGCCACCTTAGCTGGTTTTGGCTCATTGCCAGCTTCTAATGACTTTTCCACTGGCAAGAGGAGCCTGGAGCTCATCAGACAGTGGCAAAATTGCCAAAGCTGAGCGGAGCTGCCATGAATTCCAAAGCAGATTAACATTCAGAGTACAGAAGACAAAAGACTGTAGAGAGATGTCGAACAATAACAGAAAAAAACCAGACCTTTAAAGCAATTGTGAGGTGACTGCCATCTGCTTCAAAATACCACAATTTCCCCCCCTTGTGTGCCCGACAGCAAGGTCATTACTGAAACACCCTTGAGATCTTTATTGCTCAACTCTGACGTCTTTTCAGGCTGCCAAGTTCATAAACAGGCTGTGAGCTCTAGACACGCTGGAGCCACACTCAGGCAAATGCACATACTTCTAATCACAACAACAGTGCCTGGAACAGCAATCAGAAGTAACACTTGTCTTCCCCTTTCCTGAGAAAACAGGGCTACAGTCAGGACTCGACACTCAACAACAAGCGCCAGAGGCGATTTCCTTATGTCCGCCCGTCGAAGTATCATCACTTGTAGCCTGTTAAGGACATCTCAGGCAAAAACCAGAACTGTCACCCCCATGCTAAGAAGGGTACGAACATCATGCTGTCACCCTCGCTGAGAAATCCCTACAGTCTATCGTATCATTAGGCCAGTTCATCAAGGCCAAACACTAATTGCTGAAAAGCCTCCTCAAAAAGCTGTACGAGCATCATCTGCAACCCAGCAGAAAAAATAAAAACCACGGCACGAGATGACAGCAACAAGTCAAGGCCCTGCCCTCTTACCAGTTCTTGTAGAAGCGACGCTTACACTCATCGCTGATGTGCTCAGCGAAGATGGTCTTGAAGCTACGGAGACCACGGGGAGTCTGCACGTACCCCACGATGCCCACAATGACCATGGGAGGGGTCTCTATTATAGTGACCGCCTCCACCACCTCCTTCTTGTTCACCTCTGAAGGAAGACAGAAATTCAGCACAATTAACACCAGCATCAGCTACTAAACATCACCTGTTCTTTCTCACTCCCAGGCCCTTCATGTGAAAGGTCAAATGGTTCAAGTTCTCTTCACAGAGATAATACAGGTAAAGTAACCAACTCTAAATGGTAATTTAACGCCTTGCAAAAATTAGGGGCTAGCTCAGTAGAAAGGACAGCAAATCCCAACAGGTAAAATGGATGGAAGTGAGTAACTGAACCACATTCAGGACTGGACAATCAGCAAAAAAATGCCAAAGGCACTTGACTGATGTCCCTCTATCAAGAAGAGCCATCCTAAGGAGCCTGTTATCCTACAGCTAAACCAAACTAGATCACTGTGCAGCTCAGGAACGGAACCGTTAACCACAGGCTGCCAGACATGGAAGCCTTGCTGCTGGAACAGCACTCACATGGAAGTAGGAGGGGTTTAGGTGCTTCATACGCCACCCACTCAAGGGCACGGAAGCCAGGGCTAAAATCCAGAGCTGCTACTGAACAGGCCACCTGTCACCATCCATTAACACACGCTCCTCCTCCATTAGGAGGAGCACTGATACGTACTGGACCCAGGCCTGTCGACTTCCCGGACGATGTGGGTCATGCCAGCCTTGTACCCCAGGAAGGCAGTGAGGTGGACAGGCTTGCTGGGATCATCCTTGGGGAAGCTCTTGACTTTGCCCCTGTGCCTGCTGCTGCGCTTGCGGGGCAGAAACCCCAGGGAGCCGTGCCGTGGAGCCGAGAACTTGCGGTGAGACTGCGGAGAGAAAACACTTAGTGCTTGTTACAGGGATTCACTTACACCCACTCAAGGGTCAATTCTCTCCTCGCCTGAAAACACGAATATCATGTACGCACCAGACAACTCGCATTCTAGAAATTCTTCTCACTATCAGTTGTGTGGCTCCTGAATTCCATTATGTTATAAGAATGTAATCCTCATGCCCCAACTATGTCCTTCCTACATTTAACATCCCTTTCCTTACAAGCCTATTTTAAGTCCCACTGTAACTGAGGAACCACAGAAGCTGCAGTTTGGCCACAGTAAGCTACCATAGTTTTAGTCCACCCCACAAATCTACAAAACTGAGCACAAAAAACTTCACAACATTTTTCAGCTAATCAATATAGAAGTAGGTGTTACAGAAGCAATTCCAGTTTCAAAACCTTCAATAAAACAGCATTGTAACATCCTCCTTTGAGTCCGTCATTTTGGATGGAAGTGCAGTATTTTTTCCCTTGAATCCCACCCCTGCAGGCTCTCTCTGCAACCTGACCGCCATGTAAAGCCGGGTTTTATCTGGAGAACTCTCAGCCCCAAAAAGAAATTATGCATTCAATTTCACATCCAAATTTAAAGTAAACATTGCACCTCTAACCACGGAGCTAATAAAAAGTATGTCTTAATTTAAAAAAGTACTCCACGCGGGTTACGCCAAGCGAAGCTTACAGCCCCAAAACGACATTACTGTGGGAGCTCTCCAGAGAACCACCACCACCCCTTCCCAGGAAAAGAGGCATCAAGCACCCCCCCGGCCGCCCGCGCCCCCCTGGCCTCCCTCCTCGCGGAAACGTCTCGGCCGCGCCCCAAAATAAGCCCCGGAGGGCGTCGCGCAGGGCCCGGATGCACCGGCGGCGGGGCCGTGCGGTGGCCGGGGCCGGGCTGGCGGCGATGCCGAGGGATGGAGTGGGACGGCGCGGCCGTGTCGGGCCCTCTCACCCACCATCTTGTCCCCGCGCCTGCCGGAAGGGCCGCTCCAGCCACGCGCCGCCTTTATAAGCGCCCCGCTCCAGGTCTCGCGAGAGGGCGGGTGGTGCGCGCGCACTGCTACGGGAGGCGAACGGGGCCAGTAAGGTACGCGGGCGGCGATGCGCGGAAAGACAGAAACGTGGAAACGTCTGTTGGGGCTTGTCGAGAACTTCGGTGCCCACGCTCACGGGTCGTAACAGATAATGTGGCACTGGGGTTTAAAAGAGCGCAGGGTAAGGTAGAAACGTAGTAAACCACACGTAAACGTTTGGCTGTGGTTCTTTACCGCGTTATGCAAACCCATGACGTCCCCGTGTCATCCTTTGGATGTATGTGATGCCAGACAGTGTGTCCCACTGCAGGCTCCCTCCCCGAACAGGCCAGGGGTTTCCTTTCCACGAAAACAATGTGCTGGTTCCAAGCTGGGAGCGAGTGCCTGCCTGAATGGGGTGTCCCAATGCAGTGTTTGACTGGTTTTCTCAAATAGCTCTACAGCCATGGGAGGCTCTGATGAACCCTGAGCAAAAGGCACCTGACAAATCTACATCGCAGCTTGGAGACGATGTTACGTAATGTGAAGAAACACACTAAAAAGAGAGAAAAAATTAAAAATTAATTAAATAAAATAGGCTTCACTGCCAGCATCGCCATCCCACAATTTTTGCGTGTATCTCAAAATAGAAAAAGGTATCAAATAACTTCTCTTCCTTCATGCAGGGACATGATTGCGTGTTCTTCAGGGGCTGTGTCCTGCTGTATATTCCCACGGTGCTTGGTACAGCGCTGCTCCAAACTCAATCAGGGCCTCTGTGTGCTGCAGTTGAATTAATAGTAAACAATAAAACCAATGTACGTGCTGAAGTTGTGCTGTGAGAGAGAAACTGAAAATAAGGCTTTCAGTGGAAGCTGCCTGGACTAGTTGCTATTCATGCTGTTATTTCTCCTGCTCCATTTACTGCTGCTCTGGCACATGGATGAGCACCGTGAGGACCAGCTGTGTCTCTGGGAGATGTTGGATAGCTTAGACCACATCAGAAACTTGCCAGCATGGGAGCTGGTGCTGCATATCTTCTGGGCAGGAGTGAAGCAAAGTTGAGGTGAAACCTGAACAGGGAAGGAGCTGAGAGACAGGAGATAAATTATTCACTCTCCTTTCATCGACACCAGGAAATCAGACGGGACCCAGCTGAAGAAGCTCTCTCAGACTTCTCTGGATTGGGAACTGCACAGCACCCTTACAGGATAACCTACAGCCCCTCTCTGGGTTAAGGATGCAGAACATGAGCAAAGCAAGGAAGCCGATACTGGGTGGTTGAGATGGTATTAGATGCACCCACGAGGCAATCTGTGGAAAATAACTAAACTGCTGAATAGTAAGATCCAGCCTCACGACATCCAGAGGCTGAATAAACTGGGAATCAGTAGATAAATTTGCCTTATTATAAGAAACATGGGCCTTAATCCACCACAGCCTGTGGTACAAAAGGGGATGCACACTGAAGGCCACAACAACAGTGGAACCCAGAGCTGGGTGGTCTGGAGCTTCTCACACATGGGGCACCCAAAGTTTGCCCGCACTGTCTCCTAGGGCTTTCAGATGAGGATGTGTTTGACAAACACAACACCATGCGGAGATTGGTGCCCCCTGGGATGACTCCTGCCCTGCCTCCTCCCTCCCTGCCAGGGACCGTGGCACCACAACCATCAGAATTCCCACCGCGGGGATGCTGACCTGTAACATGCAATGGTAGTGCTGCACATTACAGTTATATCAAGTAACTGCAAACATCAATTAAACAACATCAACCTATAGAGCCACCAGCGTGCTTGTAGCAAATGTGGGTAGAGTCCTTCCCAAATCTTCGTTCGCAAAGCCTGGCCATGACGATGATGGTAGAGCCAGATCCCACTGCCAGCTGCACTGGTGTAACATGAGTAAGCCATTCGGCGTGGGGAGACTGGTTACCCACCTAGTGTGAAATAATTAAGAAGGGCATATCCAGCTGTTAGCACACTTATTCAACTCCCAGAGACCTTCCACCCTCCCTCCCCCACTCCGGTCCCTGCAGGTTAAGTAAAACCCAAGGCTGGAGGCTTTGCTGGAGGGATCTGTGTGCAAACCTGCATGAAAAAGCCCATACAGACCAAGATGTGCTTTGTTTGGAGGACATTTCATTGCTTGCTCTAACCTGGCAGACTGGTCCCCTAGAAAGGGCGATGATGCCCCTGCTTATTGCGGGGGGCTTGGACTAGACGGCCTTTAAGGTCCCTTTCAACCCAAACCATTCTAGGATTCTATGGCTGGATGTGATGGAGCAGTGTCCATCCTCTACCTCCAGCCTGCCCCTCAAAATGAGCCCCACAAAAGATGCGGAATGGCTGCCCACTTTTTGGAGCGCAGCTCCAAATGGGTGACCATAGGCCAGCTTTAAATGCTCTTTTATCTCCCCCATACATTTTTTCTCTAGCTCTGGCATGGTTTTGGCTTCCACTGCTGAGTTTAGGGAACCATGTTACAATCCAAGGGCTTGCTTTCCATTTCAGTCCATGTAATACAGATTATCAGGGACTCTGCAGCAGCCAGTAGGCCACTGGTGTGCAGCTACTCTGTGCAGAAGGCATGGGCCAATTTGCTTGAACTGTCCCTAAGGCTAGATAGCTTGTCCTCACACATCCCTTCCTTGCTGTGCTGGTGACCTTGGTGGTATTGTGGGTGCCAGAGAAGTCCAGGTGACTCCCAAGGCTGCAGCCTCAGGAGTGCAAGGTGTGTATCTTGCAGTCTCTGCCTCCCAGAGTTGGGGGTTCTCCCCAAAATCTGTATTCCCCGTGTTCACAAAGGGCCTTTTCCTGCTGCCCCCTCCCAGGGACACGGTGTGGGCTGGGTGAGGGATGTTGCAAATGAGAGCCCTAGACTTCGCTGCAGTGTGATTTTGAGGCTCATCAGGCATCTCTGCCTGGGGGCAGGTGTCCAGTGGGGGAGCAGCACTGACCACACCTCTGGGATAACGGCCACATCCAAGGGCCCAGCCTTACCTCTCTGTGGGAGCCTCTATGGGGTAGCATCACAGAATCACGGAATTGTTTAGGGTTGGAAGGGACCTCTCGAGATCATTTAATCAAACTCCCCTGCCAAGGCAGCATCACCTCAAGCAGGTGACACAGGAACGTGGCCAAGTGGGTTTTGAATGTCTCCTCCCTGGGCAGCCTGTTCCACTTCTCTGCCACCCTCAATGTAAAAAAGTTCTTCCTCATATTGAGGTGGAACTTCTTGTGTTTTAGTCTGTGGCTGTTGCTCCTTGTCCAATCACTGGGCATCACTGAAAGGAGTCTGGCACCATCCTCTTGGCACCTGCCTTTGAGATATTTATATTCATGAGACCCCCTCTCAGTCTTCCGTAGACTGAACAGGCCCAGCTCCTGCAGTCTCTCCTCATGAGATACTCCAGACCCTTCAGCATCTTCATGGCCATTCGCTGGATCCTCTCCAGTAGCTCCTTTTCTCCCTCTCAGTCAGTATGCTGAGGAGCCCAGAACTGGACACAGCACTCCAGATGTGGTCCCATTAGGGCCAAGGAGAGAGTGTGAGTGGCTGGGGGCTGACCCCGCGCTTCTGCTAGGACCTACCAAAACAAAGCGTGCTATGACCCCTGCATCCTTCTCCCAGGGGCGCTGGGGTGGGCTGCCTTTGTACCGGGAGGTGTTCGCACCGCCCTCCGCAGACCCCCATGCTGCAACCCGCAGTGCCCGCGCCCCCAGCACCCCGCGCACACTCCAGCCCCACGGACACCGCCGCCCTGCCCCCAGACCTGCCCCGGACGGCCGCGATGTGCCGCGGGCGGCAGCGCCGGCGGGGCGGGGGGGGGTGGTAGCGTGGAAGGGGTGGGTGCGCGCTCCCGGCGCGGCGCGTCCCCGTGGGCGGGAGCGCGCGGCTCGTCGCCGCCGAGCTGCCAGGCACGGCTCGGCTCGGCGCGGCTCGGCGCAGCCCGGCTCGGCTCGGCGCAGCCCGGCACCGCCCGCCGAGCCCCCCGCCTGCCTCCCGCCCACCCCCGCACCGCCATGGACGGGGGCGCCTTCGGAGCGGGGAAAGCCGGCGGCGCCTTCGACCCGCAGGCCTTCATCCGGCAGCCGCAGACCCTGCTGCGGTTCGTCTCCTGGGTAAGGCCCCGCCGCCCGCGGGGGGGGCACCGGCACCGGGGCAGGGGCCGTCCCGCCGGGCTGCGGGGGCGCGGGCGGGGCTCCCCCCACCGACCCCGACCCCGACCCTTCCTACTCACCTGCCTCTATACACGCACGCAGACATATATATAAAAAATCGTTATGCCCTATGTTACATATCATTATATGTTATTATAATAATATGCTATTATATATTATATATTTATTATTATATGCTTTATATATGCATGTGTATGCATATGTCGATATGTCTCCACACATCCTAGATCAGTACACACACAGATGTGGACGTATACTTCCATAACCGTTTATGGCTCTATCTCTGTTATATATATTTTTTTTTATAAAAATATATAAGTGCAGGTATGTTTGGATATATGGATCTGTCTCTGGGTTTATATATATATGTATGTATAAAAGTCCATATATATCCGCATATATGTGTGCACATACACATACAGCTACATATCTGGATGCGTAGATATAGGGCCATATGGGGCGAGAGCAGTCTGGTTGGAGATTTCTTCTCTGGGGGGGAAGGCATGAATGACCACGACCCTATCTCCATCCCTGCTGGTTTGGGGGTGGTGGTGGGGTGTCTTCTCGCCCTCCCGTGCTTGTGGGGTTTTGGCAGATGCTGGGAGGCAGCAGGATGTGGGGTGACGGGGGAAACCTGGGAGAGGGGAGAATGCTGCAGTCCTAGGATGGCTCCCCGGTGGGTTGGGGGTGCTGGGCTCAGGTCGTGCTGAGGTGAGTTGGAGGGGCTATGGGGGGCTCAGTGTCACTCCGTGTTTTACCCTAATCCTCTCACCTCGCCAAAGCTCCCTTCCCTGTAATGTTTTCATCTCCATAATTTGTGGAGAAGGGGGTAGAGGGAAAGGGAGATCTTATGGGGCTGTCAGGAGAAGGTCTTTTCCTCTTCCCGTGATGCCGATCCCATGGCTGCCCGTGGGGCCGGCGCATATGTGCAAGAAGGTCATTGGGATTAAGGGAGCGAGTGCTGCAGCACTGAGCTGGCGGGGGAGAGATTGAGGTCTCGGCCGGTGGCGGAGAAGGGAGGGCAGGGAGAGAGAGTGGAGAAGACACATGCGCATGGAAGCTGAGAGGAAAGGCTGCAGGCTGGCTTTGGGAAAATAAAAGCAGTGCTAGGTGGGGGAAATGAGGAGGAAAAGGGAAGGTGGCCTGGCTCCCTGCTGGTGGTGGGGAGGCAGCCCTTTTCCTCCCAGCTGGATGGGTGGGTGATGTCCCCTCCGGGTGATGTGACTCGGAGGGCAGCTGTAGAGCCCCAAGACAGCTAAGGACATGATTAATGCGGGCATTCTGTCTGTCTGTCCATGTGCCTGAGCTTGTTTACACTACAGCACATCACGCCAGGAGCGGGCTGGCTGTGGCTGGAGGCCAGGCGAGGGGGTATGTGTGCCCCCTGCTCCTGGGTGGCTGGAGTGGAGCCAGCCTGCATGCCCCAGGATGATGGACGTGATGTGACCTACAAAGGCTCTCCCACTGCTAATCTCTGTGGCAGAATTTCCTCTTTCTCTCTCTGCCACTCTGTCTGGTGGGTTTTTTCGCCTTCATCCAAACACTGCAGGATTTTGGCTTCCCAGAGGCACCAGTGAGGGAGAGAGAACAAGAAATATGTTTGGTTTTTAATTAGGCACCTAATCTGCTTCAGAGTACACTGTTGGCTTGCTTGGTGAGCTCAGCTTTGTGCCCTGCAAGGTTTCCCCAGGCAAGAAGCACTTCTCAGGGACTGGCATCTCCTTGGGACCCTGCGCTGTTTCCCCCTGGTCATCTGACCTTGACAGAGGACAGGATGGGATTTACCCCAGGCACTTCACTTGGCCGTGGAAATTGAAGTCCTTTTGCAGGAGCTGGAGGTGCTCCAGGTCAGTGGTCCAGCGAGGGAGGCTGGCATGGCCATCGTGGTGCAAGTCTATGTATTCCTTTTCTTGCTTTTCCACTGTCTTGGTCTTGTCTGTCCTCTCTCTTTTCACAAAACAGGGGAGCCACAAGCTCACACCAAATATTCAGTTGTAGCTTTGGTCTTTTTTTTAACTTGAGACCAAGACAGGTCCTTGTGGGCAGTGAAGTCCTCTCTCAGGCTGTCACAAGCATCATACCCTTTATGGCCCTTTCCATAAATTGGTTGAACTTTGCTGGAAAAAAGACTAGTTCATGGGTTTTTTTGGCCTTCTCACCCTGTCTGGGAGAGTGCTCAGTGGTTCCAATGGTCAGGGCCTTCCACCATAAATCTATTCATGGTTAGGGTTTTATCCATTTGCTTTTGTGATCTTGTGCCCTTCAGTTTAAATGGTGCTTTTCCCTCCCTGGTGTTTTCCCCTGAGTGTATTTATAGACTGTGATTGCATCTGTACTTAGCTTTCCTATTGCCATGCTCTGTGAGCCAAACTTTTCTGGTGGCAAAGGGCTCTTCCTCCCTGTGGTCTCGGTGAACAGAGTCCTTCCTTTCACCTGCTCTTGCACACACTGGAAGTACTTTGCCCGCCATCTCCTGAAATCTCATTTGCGTTTATCCTGCTCATGTTGTGACTGGTCCATTGTCTCCCCAGGGCAAGCTAAAGGCTCATTTTGGCCTGTTTCACATGATGAGCTTTCGCTGAGAGCAGAAATTCTCGTGATCGCTTCCTCAGGCAGTGACCTTGTGCTCGGGTCATGCAGCCTTTTAGCAGACTTCATGATGGCACAGAGGTGCATATGGCTTTTTACCAACAGAAACCAGAACTGGCTCCTGCCCAGGGAGTTTGCAGCCCAACTGAGGTGGTGGCAAATCTCTAGGGAGAACTGTAGGATCAGGAGCAGATGAGATGACCGAAGATTATTTATATTGCTCCTTGCTGAAGAGGAGACAAGATAAATTTGACAAGGAGAATGCTGAACTATGGAAAGAGGTTAGCAATTCTGGAGCATCAGTTCACTATGACTGTGTTGTGAGGCAGCTCAGGTTTTGTGGGTGCTTTGAAGGTCGGGCATGGTGGAGTAAGTATGCATTTCCCTATATAAAGGTTGCCTGCTATGGGTGCTGGTGAGCAGTAGTGGTCCTGCAGGGCGCCTGTGTCAGGTTTGGATGTTCAGCCTCAGCACAAGCCATTTTTCTGCTGCTGCCTTCCCCAGATGTGCTTGCCAGGATGAAATAGCAGAGCAAGGAAACAGCACTATGGAGCAATCCCTCCTGAGCATCTCTGCTGAAGGTGCTTCCAACAGCATCTGGATCTTGCAGTGAGGGGACTTGTCCGATTCAGATGAACTGAAGCTTGCTGACAAAAGCAGTGTGTTGCTGGAAAATCCCAGAGGCTTCCTCACCTCTGTAGGGAAGAGCAGAACAACTCCCTCCCTATTCCCAGCGACAGCAGTCAAGAGAAGTCAAGCAACTTACTCTGTTGCAATGTTGCCACTGCAGTTTACTCCCAGTCCTGGTATTTCAAGGCAGTGCTCCACGTTGTGCCACTTCACTTGCTGCCAGCTGCAACACAGAGACGTGCTCAGAGCTGAGCTGCATCTCACAACTGTTTAGCTCAGCTGGTAAGAGTATGGTGCTAATGATGCCAAGGTCACAGGGTCCATCCCCGAGCTGGAATCAATGATCCTTGTGGGTCCCTTCCTACTCAAAGTACCCTGTGACTTTGGTGCCCCACAGCAGATGAGACATGGGTGCATGGGTTGGTTTTTTACCACTTTGGCATATAGACTTGCCTTCAGCCCGTTTAGGTGACCCAGCAGCTGGAGCTACTGGTGCTACTGCTGGAGCTCGTGGAGCTGGGTGACCCACACCAAGCTCCAGTTGCACAGCTCCAGGATTGTTCTTGAAATGAAGCAGGTGAGTGTGAGCACATCCCTGCCGAGTCCCGTTGTGCCCGGACCCACAGTGCTCTCCGCAGCTGGCACATGGGAGCTGGACGGCTCCTTCGCAACCTGCAGGCATTGGATGTAGCACTGGTGCCATAAATAAGTAAAATGCTAATTGAAACAGGTTGTTCCAGGTGCTCCTGTCTGCTTGGAAATCTGCTTGCTTGAGAAACTGATGTGCTGCTCGGTGTAAAAGCCTAACAAGGCAAAAGTAACTAGCTTTTTGGAAGCAGGCCCAGCTTGCTTGGATGTGGGTTTGAGTGAGAGTATTTCCAACCACAGTTGCACAGACAAAGCAGCCCATTAAAATTTGTCACACAGATTGAGGTCCCGAGCCCCCTCTGATGCCAAGGTCAGTCACTGCCCCTCCAAAGGGAGGTTCGGTGAGGAGAGGTGCTGCCTGCCCTCCATCTTTTCCTCCGTTACCTGCTGCTGTTGCCACTGTGTCCCCTGGCTGGTAGGAGCATGCAGACCTTTCAAGCTAGGACAGGAAGTGCTGTCTCCTGTGTCTACAGGCATGGTACATCCCAAACAGCTCTGGCTGAGCAGACAAGGCAGGTGAAGGACAGGAACCACATCCCTTGCTCCACCACAACAGGCTGGCACCTGCAAGCTGGAGGGTGGAAACAAGTCACAGCATGGCAGGGAGCCTCATCTCCTCCCTCGCCAGCCTGGCTTGCCATGCTCATGCCTGGCTTATGACACCACTTGCCTCTTCCCAAGGACACCCAGTGTGGGCTTGCAATGGCAGTTAAACTGAGCCTTACAGCTTGGGGGCCTCATTAGTCCGAAACCAGCTGGAACTGGGCTCCCACCTTCTTTCTCTCTCAAGTAAATTTAACTGAGATATTCCCCATGTTCCTGGACCATAGCTCATGCTCTCTGTCTGTTCTCGGCCACCTGATGTTTGCCCCAGCCACCATGCTCCCTGGCTGTGTGTTTGTGAGATACACTGGTGCATGATGAAAGAAACACAGCAGTTCAAAGCATGTGCTTTCAGTCAAGCCTCAGGTACAGTTCTTTAAGGGAATGCCCATCCCTAGGTCTGCTTCAGAAGGGTTTTTGGGAGTTTGGTATCACTGGGATTAGGTGAGAGACCATGTCAGAAGATGAAC